CGGCACGCGACGGGCGGAGGGCAGGCTGCCGGTGCTGGCCCTGCAGGTGGTGGGCGCGCCGTGGGCGACGGGGAGCGCCTGCTTGGCGCGAGGGCGAAGGCGTGGAGGGCGACGAGGGCGAGGGCGAGGGCGAGGAGGGCGACGACGAGGGCGAGGGCGGAGAGGGCGTCGAGGGCGAGGGCGAGGGCGAGGAGGGCGACGACGAGGGCGAAGGCGAGGAGGGCGTCGAGGGCGAGGGACCACGACGGGGGTGCGAGCAGTTCGGCAGGGCGTGCGAGGGGCGGGCCCTCGCTCGCCGCCGAGCTGCCCGCCCCATCGCTGCGCCGCTCGCCCGCCGAGGCCGTCGGCTCCTCGGGACTCTGGCAGGAGGAGGAAGGGCGAGCGGGGAGGAGGAGGAGGAGGAGGAGGAGGAGGAGGAGGAGGAGGAGGAGGAGGAGGAGGAAAGGGAGGAATATGAGGAGGAGGAGGAAGAGGAGGCGGAAGCGGAGGAGGAGGAGGCGGAGGAGGAGGAGGAGCAGTAGGAGAATGAGCCTCGCCTGCTAAGCGTTGTTGCAGCCGCAGTCTGATGGATGCTGCGAGGCCCTTGGGGGAAGAACTCGGGGGCGCGGTCGGCGCAAGCCTGGGCCAGTCGGGTTTGCAGGATCCTGCGGGATCGTGCAGGTTCCTGCAGCATCCTGCGCCGAGGCCGCGGCTGATTCCTTTTAGCCGAGGCTTCGGCCTCGCCCGCCTCGCTCTGGTGGCTTGCTCTGGTGGCTCGCTCGCTCGCTCGCCTCCGTCTGGAGCGTCGAGGCCCGTCTGGCTCCTCGGAACTCGACCAGGACGACGAGGGCGAGGGCGAGGGCGAGGGCGAGGACGACGAGGAATACAGTCATCGTGCTACGACGACACAGGGGGGAGAAGGAACAGCCGCAACCGCTGGGCTGAGGAAGCCAACCCCGACGCCTCCCCCATCCAGGAAGAAACAAATCCCCGCGCGCCAAGGAAGGGGATCAGCGCACATCCAAAAAAAAATCCGCGCAAAACGCCTGAAAACACTTGTTTCCTTTCGACACCTGGCCGGCCCCGCCGCCAACGGTGACGACCTGCGCGCGGCGCCCGATGTCGAGTGCCGCGCGCAGAAAGTCACCAATGCTGGGGGGTCGAAATCGGCCCTGGGGATGCGCCAGCGGGGGGGGCCTCAGCCCGACAATTGCGGCTTCAGTACGGGCTCGACCACAAGAAACCTTCCACGTAATCCCAACCCTGAGACCCCAAGGCGCCCATAGATTTTTTGGTGTTGGAACGTCACGCGTTCCATGCCTCAAGCATCGAAACCCAAGAAAAGCAGGGCATCCTGGAGGCAAGCAGGGTGTTTCTTGGCATGGGTCTCCGCTCTACCTCTTCACTCGCCCATGAAGAAGACACGCCGAGAAGAGCACGAAAGGGGCCTCGCTGCCCACGGCGAGCATCTCGGCCACGAAGAGATTCCCCGAACTACGTGGATCCAAGACACGGCCCAAAGGCTAGCTTCCGAAGCCATGCCGAAATACGAGTGCCTGGCACGTCGCCATCATGCCGCCGTCGGCCAGGAAACTACACCACGCCAAAGACAGCCAGGCAAAGTCGCAAACATACAGCACGTTGCGCCGTAGGTGGGGTGGTGTCGTGTGCCTTTTGGTCGCAAGCTGGAGCCCCTCCCGAACTCAAAGCAGTCCTCAACTCAGCGCCTTGGCTGTATGAGTTTGACCGTATGACATCATCGACTGGCTACGAGGAGGAGGAGGAGGAGGAGGAGGAGGAAAAGGACAGCGGGGACGGGGCCGCATCCTGACCAGGACCGCCTGGCGGCCTGGGCAGGATGCAGGGAACCGCCGCCACCGTCGGCCTCCCCCCTTCCTCCATCCATCCTCCCTCCCGCACTTCCTGGGGAATTCAAAAAGTACTGATACAGCTACTCCCCGGATCTCTCCTGGGGTGCGCTCTGACCAGGACTTCGAGGCGAATACAGCGGTTGCGACGAGGGCCTCCCAGGAAGCCCAAAAAGAGGACAGAGGTATGGGTACCTTTTCCTCCTCTGACCTGCCCCTCTCCTCTAAGCATGGCCGCAACGCTCCCTCCAGCGGGCGTGGCCAGACAGGCCGCCTGACCCACGACGTGGCCGAGCGCAGGGACACTGCCGGCGTGCGCCGCGGCCTGGTCCTGGGCAGGCGCGACACCGCTCCCATCCTCGTCGTCGCCGTCTCTCGCCCTCGTCATCGCTTTCCTACAAGAAGCCTCGTCGGAGTCGGTTCTTCTCCTATACTTGGCAATGTGAAGCCTGTCTGCGTGCTTCCATGGGAGTGAAAGGCCCCCAGCCTACAGTCGCCACTCGCTTCGATCCTTCTCCTCCTGGGTATGTTCGAAGCCTCCTCCCATTGAACCGAGCGCCTTACGCCTTAGGCTGCACAGGTGCATCGCCCCTGTTTGCTTTGACAATGCGTTGCTTGCTGTCTGCCAAAAATGCCTGGAAAAAAAGAAGCGGTTTGCAGCCGTCTAACGGAAACAACAGCGCCTGGTCTGTTACACGCAAGGGAAACATCCGAAGCGTCCTGGGATCTCGGTCGAGCGTGGTCCCTGGTCCGTGGTGTGGACCCCCGAGTTGAGCTCTCGCAATGTTCTGAATGTCTGCTTCTTGATGCCGCTGGTGGTTAGGGAGGCCCTGTAGTTGCGAGGACATGCTCTCTCGAACTGTTTTGCGGGCGAATCTGACCTCTGTTATAGAGGGTGGTCAGCTTCCGTACCCGTGCGTTCTTGACGTCTGATGTCAACAATCCTCCTCAACAACATCACCACCACCGCAGCAACCACCGCGACCACGACCACCACCACCACCATCATGTTCATCGTCAACGTCGTCATCAGCAGCAGCGCCTACATAACAATCGCCATCATACTCAGCACCAGCATCATCCTCAGCATAAATAGCATCCCCATGATCCCCATTGTCTCCCTCATCCCCATCACCACCAGCATCAGCATCAGCATCCTCAACATCATCAGGAGCATCATCAGCATCCTCAGCATCATTATCATACGCATCATCTCGATCAGTTCCATCATCATTATCATCATCGTCATCAGCAGCACCATCATCAGCAGCAGCATCAGTATCAGCATCAGCAGCACCAGCATCAGCTTCATCATAATCAGCATCATCATCATCAACATCATCATCATCAGCAGCAACATCAATATCAGCATCATCGTCGTCATCAACAACACTGGGCCCCTTCCAGGAAACGCACGGCCCCGCGCGCACGGACGAGCCCCCCTCGCTCGCGCCCGCCGTGCACCGCCGCTGGAGCCGTGGGGCAGCGCGCTGATGAACTGGGCATGAGGGATGGCACAGGGGAGGATGCATCGACCTGGAATCGGCGATACATCGCCGATAGATCGGCGATAGGGCCCCGATAGTGAGTCCGCACCTTCCTGGGCAGGTTCGGGCTATCGGACCCCTGTCGGCGATCAATGGGTGATTGGGGGTCGATGCATCCCCCCCTCTGCCCATCCCCCCCCCCTATCGTTGCCCCTGATCCCACGGCTGGCTCACAACCTGGGCAACCTCAGGACCCGAGCGCCCGGCGTCTCGCCGAGCGCGGCTGTGCGGGCCCTACGGGGGGGGGCACGCCGTCGACGACCCCAAGCGCTTGTGATAGGTCGGGCATGTCCACCTACAGGCGGATTTGAGACGAACAACTAAAAATAGTCAAAACAAATTCAAACATAGTCCAAAAAGATACTCCGAAAATCGTCACCACGCTATTGTTTGACTAGTTTAGAATATTCCTCCTGTAGAGGGACAGGCCCGACTTAACACTTGTGCGAGAAAGGCCCACGCCCTGCGCACACTCGAGATCAGACGCTGTACCACAGCATCGTTCACTTTCCAGGGCGGCCTGTCGCTCGCACCAACTCGAGTAGAGGATCGACTAAAGAAATGATTTACCTTTTTGTCTCTTTTTTTTACCCTGAACCCTGGCAGCTACAGGTCAAGGATGAGAGGAGGAGAAAGAAACAAAAAGGAGCAGGAGGAGGAGGAGGAGGAGGAGGAGGAGGAGAGGGAGGACGAACAGCGGCGGCGCCAAGCTCGATGGATATAGGCCGGTACGCCCGAAAATAAACGCATGGGCATAAATGATTTACCCCTACAGATTGTGTTTCGCATCGACCGTGCGAACACTGCGTAGAATATTCGTGGATATGCGGATCATTCGACTTAATCTCCATAAAACAGTTTTGGTACACCAAACGGGCGAATCAATTTTGGGATAAATCGATTATGTAGTTCGTCGATCCCCTACTCGACCACCAGGAGTGCGGGCTGGAGAATCATGCTGGGAAAGCGGCTGTGCACTGCGCGCCTCTTCCATCGCGATGATCGACGGCACCGCCGCTCATCGTCGCTGGCAGAGGTGGCATCATCGACATCGACCAGGGCCCACTTTGTCCGCGCGTGATTCCCCTGCGCTTCGAGCCCACGGCCACGCCATACGGTTACCGATGACCGCCGAGATAAATATGTTCCATTGTAAGGATACTCGTCTGCTGTTTCCCCGGAGTGTCCTGATCGTGATGTAAGATGCCCCATGTTCCCGGACTCATGTCTAATAGACCCGAAGCGTTATTGCATAGCGTTCTCCATGCATGTCATTATCATTTGCATATAAACGATGTCATTGGAAACAGCTTTCTGCATCCCGAGTTGTTCCTGTAATGGTAGCGCGGCATCTTCTAAATCCTTTCGAGAGACGCCGTGCTGCTTGATTGCCGCGATGTCCTGCTGGATAGGTCGGAACTTCGTGAAATCGAAATCACATTTGCATTTAAACTGAGAGGCTATCCCGCTGCTCCGGCTGCGCCTGTACCAAAGAGATAAAACGGAGGGGGTAGTTGCTCTTGACTTGGAACTTTCTGATCCTGGAGCAGAAGGACCTGCGGGAATGTGTCCATCCATTTTGTGAAACGGACTGTGGATCCGATGCTGCATGAACAGCTGCCTGACCGGTATGTCTGGCTGTCGTTTGTCGCCATCGCCTCAAGACGCCATCGGACGTAGAAGGTGTAGGAAGGTGAAGGTGTGAGGTGCAGGAATGCGGAAGGTGCAAGGTGCAGGAGTGTGAGGAGTGCTAAAGTAGGCGGGGGAGACGTATGCAAACACCGCCACTGGAGGCTTCCGTGGAGCTCCCTATGGGGCCACGACATGTGTGAGGGTGTGCCGAAATGATCGGGGGAGACGCGTGCGATCACCGCCACTGGAGCCTTCGGTGGAGCTCCCTATGGGGTCACGAAGCGTGTGAACCCCGCCACTGGGGCCTTCTGTGGAGCTCCCTGTGGGGCCACGACCCGTCGGAGCGCAGAGGCAGGGGTGGGAGGAGGGAGGGGGCAGCGGGAGGGAGGGAAGGAAGGAGGCGAGGGGCGCTGTCTCTTCAAAACGAGCCCAGCACCACAGGTTGGTTTGGACAACAAATATCGGGCCCTGATATCCGACGTAGCGAAAAAAAACAAGACCCCATCCTTCTGCGCCAATTTTCGAAATGGGTCGATCTGGAAGGGACCCGTCGCCCGAGACTGGGCAAAAACGCCCAGCTCGAAAAACTTGGGATGCCAGTATCTCAATGGAAGAGCCTCGATGATCCCCACAACGCGTGCTAGCGTCAAACGCGTGCTTGTTCACCAGTGAAGTGCCCTTCATCACGACGCAGAAGGTGCAATAAGCGCCGACACCAGCTGCGTCCTGTCGGCGGAGCCGAACGGTGCAAACACACACACACACACTAAACTGCGGCAAATTCGCGTCGTGTCGACAGTGGCGCTGGTTCCTCACACCGTGGGGATCGTTCAACTTTGAACGGTCGGCCGTTTCCTAAATGTCAGATCGCTCAACATCGACCGATTCTGGGTCGACGGCGGCGTTCAACGCCGAACGCCAGCGGCGGGGTCGCCGCCGATCGACACGACGCAAACCTACCGCATCATCCTACGTCTTTGTGCTTCTGCTGGCTGGAAGGACAGAGAAAAGATACTTCACACAACGGGGTGTGGCCTGTGGCAGGGCCACACTGCGTTCACCGTTCGCGAGCCTACCGTACACGGATCAGGGCGATACCCCTTCCAACAGAGGCGTTCGCCTGCATGGCAGAGGGCGCTTCCCGTATTTACCGAAACCGACTGCGTGCGAGGCCTCTTGGGCGTCGGCGCCTCCGCCGGCGTCGCCGGCGCGCCATCGCCGCACGAACCTGGCGTACCGCGCACGTTCTGAGAATCCTCGAGGCCCTCTCGGCGGCACGCCCCCCGCCTACTGCCGCGCCGCTCCTGCAGCGGCCCCGCGTTCTCGTCGCCGCCCCGGTGCGTGAGGCCGCCCAGGGGCGGGCGTCCTGCCGAGGCGGGCGGGGGAGGACGTTGGCGCGCCCGTCGGCGAGCCTTCTCGGGAGCGGGCAGACGGGGCGTGCCTTCTCACACACAGAGGCATACGGGACATGTAGCTCGCGTCTGTGACAAGCAGACGGGGCGGGCCTTCTCGGCATGAGTATACGTATGTTTGTATGTAGCGATGCATCTAGATGGTTGCACACGTACACATGTTCACATAAAAATGTAAAAGGTATATGTATCTGCATCAATAAATATACATAGTTCTGTGCATGTGTGCAGGAAAATTGTGATTTGTATAGCTGTAGATACGTGTCTAGATATGTATACGTGTATGTTTGAAACATGTATACATATATATACACACACACCCCAAGACGGCCTGAATACCTCGCCCAAAACATGCATATCCAGCAAAGCTGTAGGATATAGTGAGGATCATTGCTCATTCACACCATGACATAATAATTCATAGTGCTCAGGCCTGCAGCATACAGAAACGATCATCTCGAGGTGCGGGCCTTTCAAGCACCTCGCGCCCGCAGCGGAATGCATCAAATTGCGAGCTTGTGCAACAAGCTCGAGGGTGGACGTGGGTGGGCGGACTTGAGCAGCACGGATGCAGAGGCACGTGCGGGCATTCGCTGGCGGGCGAGTGAGGGCCGAAGGGTATTCACGTCTCTGACTATACACACCCCAAGACGGCCTGAATACCTCGCCCAGACATGCATATCCAGCAAGGCTGTAGGATATAGTGTGGATCATTTCTCATTCACACCATGACACAATAATCCATAGTGCTCAGGCCTGCAGCATACACAAACGATCATCTCGAGGTGCGGGCCTTTCAAGCACCTCGCGCCCATACCCGTATCACGTACTGGTAGGCCCGTCACAACTTTCGAAGGCGGCTGATCAACTCCTGGGGCAGTTTAGCGCTCCTGCGCGCTGCCACGGGGATTTTCCTGAGCTGCTGAAGCAGGAGAGCGCCTTTCTCGTAGCGGGCCACCGACGCGGACGATGCCCAGCGGCCGCGCTTCTGAATCTCCTTCAACGTCCGGCGACCGTGGGCCTTGTCGTTCGAGGCCCCGCTGCCCCTGAAGACGTGGGGGCGCACTTTGAGGGGCGCGTAGCCCAGGCGGTCCGAGCTGCGCTTGACCTCGCGCTCGAACTCGGGCAGGGTGAAGTCGAACAGCCTCTGCCTCTGAGAGTCGGGCGCCTTTGGCTTGAAAGGAGCTTCATCGCGCTCGCCAGCCACGGACGCGCCACGTCCCCGATCAGCATGCCGTCGCCCTGGCCGCCCGTCTGCGTCGTCTCGCGCCAATCGGAGGGCGCGATGACCACGCCAAAGTGCGCGCCGAGCCTCGCGGCTGGCGCGGGCGGCAGGATCTGGCCCTGCCGGAGCACCACCGTCTCGGAGGGCCTGAGGTAGGCGTCCGTCTCGAGTACCACTGCGGCGCCCATGAGCGGCAGGTCGCGCTCCACCAGGTCCAGCGCGATGTCGTCTACAATGATGTCGGGCAGCGGCAAGCGCGCGTGGCCTGGGGCCCGCTTGGCCCAACCCTTCATGGAGGCCAGTGCCTTCGGGAGCTCCACCTTGCTGGTCGTCTTGAGCCGCGGGGGCCTGTAGCCGTGGAAGGTGTTGCGGCCCTCCCGCGCGCCGAAGCCGTCGTCGAACAGGTCCACGAAGTACTGGGACAGGGAGTTGTCGAGGCGGCTCGGCGGCTGCAGGTCGAGCTTCTCGGCCTTCGCATAGACCTCGAACTCGTGCGCCGCCGCCGCGCGCCGCTCGAGGGTGTCGTTTGTCACCGTCGCCATGACCAGCGCGTCGCGCCTCTGGACTAGGAGGGGCCCCACGTGGCGCGCCGCCGACGGCTGGCGAGGTCGCCCGCTGCCTGGCGGCGGCCGCCTGCCAGTGCGCGTGGGCCTGCCGGCGCTGAAGTCGTTTGTCCTGACCAAACTGGATGACGGGGCCCGCCCCGAGGAAGCCGTCGGCGGCTTTGCAGACGTCGCGGGCGAGCTCGTTGTCCTCGCTGCGCACCGCCGCACCCCCAGGCGCTGGCTGACGGCCCGCCGCCCGGAGGAGGCCATGCCGGAGCTCCTGGGGGTCGAAGTCGCCGGCGCGGGCGAGCGCTCCACGGCGGAGCGCGGCCGCCAGGATGTCCGCCCAGCATGAGCCCAATGGTGACGGATATGCGGCAGCTTGGGGTGTGAGGCGCCCGCGCAGCATGACCGCGTGCTTGCGCGAGACGCGGGGCCGCTCCCCCCGGGCCCTTAGGGCCCCCACGTTCGTCAGGATCCGAGTGGGCTTCCGATAGGGCGCCCCGAACATACCCATATCAACATTCACCTCGATGACGGCGGGTAGCCCGCGAAGTCGAGCGACGGGTTCGAAATTCCATAGCCTCGAAGTTCTGGGATTCTCGACGCTCCAGTAGCACCCCCTGCGTGACAATATGTGACAGAGAGTGGCCGTGAAGAGTGCGAACTCGACCCCCCAGCCTTTCCTTAGCCCGCGCACGCGCGTGGTTCTTGATCCCCCGGCGCGCGATTCTCCAAACCGAACGAGGTGCCCCAAAATGTACGTATAGAAGTCGGCCACTGCGGGCCAGATCCAAGATAGGCACGCGTGCTTCTGCGAAACAAATCGAACTCCACGGGGTCGGCGAAGGGAAGCCCAATCTTCCTGCATGCTCGAGTCGACCGCCCCAGACCACCAAAGAGCTCCAAACAAAAAACTGACTCGTATACCAGGCTCGCTCTGAATTGTCGGGCAGGAAGCAGATGATAGCGATGCCGACGATGGGGGCGACGGGGAGGAGGGAGGTTGCGTCTCGCACCCCTCGGAGCCCGACTGATCGACAGCCAAGCTCGGCGCGCCAGCGGGCGCGCTGTCCGGCCCCTGGGCGCGGGGCGGGGCGACGCCCAGCCCGGTCGGCGAGCGCTCCGGCCCCGCCACTCGCTTGGTGTCCCAGCGGCGCGAGTCCTGGCCGCTCAGGTTCCGATCCGTCTCGATGTAGCGAAGCCGCCGCGCGATCTGTCCACCGAGGCGGTAGGCCGCAGCTCGCCAGCGCAACGACTGCAGCCCTGCGCTGGAGCGGCCCTTCTAATAGGCTCCCACGGTCACCTGGCTGTCGCCGAGGGTGAGCAGCTTCGAGCCAAGCCGCCCCACTGTGCGGCAGTGACGCCGCGGGCCCATCGAGGCCACCCGAGCTTCTTTCAAATTGATGTGCTCTTCCTGCCAGCGCCAACGGTCCGCCGCGACGAGCTGGAAGCGCTGTCGCCCGGTCCAGCCGTCGGCCAGGCGAGGGGCCCCCGCGTCCAGGTCGACCTTGACCCGAGGGCGCCGCGGCGGTGCGGCCGCTGGAAGCGACCCGAGGCGCAGGTCGTCGGCTCCGGCCCGAAGGGCCTGGCCGAAGGCCGTGCGCGGCCCCGCCGCGAGGCCGGGCGCGTCGCCCCGCACGTGGCCGAGGCCGTCGGCCATGTGGCCCTCCCTGCACGGGGACGTCGCGGTAGCGCCAGCGCTCTCTCCATCTCCAGGCCTCGCGCAACTCGCCGGGCTCGGCCCTCGCCACGTGGAGGGCGCAGCCTCGGGTGGAGGAGTCCCCGCAGTAGACCTCGTTGGAGAAGTTGGCGCCCAGGTCGGCCTCCACCAGGAAGAGGAGGGTCATCGCACAACGAATCTCGGACTTCACGGACGGCCAAGCCTCTAAAGCCTCCTCGACGAAGCGGCAGCAGGCGTTCAGCGCGGACATGGCCTCCGGGCACAGCTGGTTCAAGTTCACCACGTGGCCGAGCCAGCACTGCAAGGTGTGCCCGCGCAGCTTGCGACGGCGCAGCAGGGCGTGTCCGGCCAGGTAGGTCCGCCAGACGCGTCGGGGAACACGCCGCAGCCGTCGGTCGCGCCAGTGGCGCGCCAGGCCCAGTAACTGCATCTCAAACTCGTCGCGAGGCCCCACGTCGAAAGGCATGTTGTCCTCGCAAGAGATCTTCTCAATCTCGTGCATCTGCTTCCTGGCGTCGCCCGCGCAGCCACCGACGACCTGCGCGTTGCCCGCGCACACGCCGGCCACGCCCTTGCCAGGCTTCAACGCTGGAGCAGGCTGCACCTCGCGCATGATCTGGTCAGCGCCTCCGCCCAGGGACCGCTCCAAGCGGTGAGTCACGGCCTCATTGGCGAAGAAGAGGGCCCACGACCAGCCCACGCAGACAGCGGCCATGCATGGGTGGAGTACCTCGCCGTCCTCGACCATGGTCTCCGCCCCCTCGGCGTCGTCCCAGATCATGGCCGGCCGGCGCCCCATCTCCTCCAGCTCGTGGGCGTCGAAGCGGTCGTCGAAGCCGAACCAAAAGAGGCGAGCTCGGGGGCGGCGTAGAAGCAGCCCCCGACGTCGCCTTCCCCCCCGCGCGGGCTAGCCGCAAGCCCCGAGCCGATGCCGCCGAAGCCGGAGGCCTTCAGCCTGGGGTCAGAGAAGTCCAGGTCGGCCACGCAGCGCGAGGACCCCAGTCGCGCGGTAGGTGGCGGGCGATGTGCCCGATGGGCCGCTCGGGCGTCAAAAATCAGCCTCTGGAGCCCATCCTTCTTTGACCGCGAAGATGCCCGCGCGCCCCTTCAGCCGCCGGCGCCAGGTCAGCAGGCCCTGCTGGCGCAATCGCTGGCACAGTCGCCTCCGTAGGTCTCGCGAACGCCGAAGCTTGGGCCCCAGTAGTGCGAGGACCCCGCGCTCTCGGCTCGATCCTTCTCAAGCTCCGCCCAATCCATCTCGATCAGATCGGCTGAGTGCCTGAGGTAGCCAAGGGCTGCAGGAGGGAGTTCGCGGCGAATGGGTCGCACGTGAACCTTCCGATTCAGGATCTTGACCTCGTCAAACTCGAAGCTGGCCAGGTTCTTGGGCTCCATGCCGCAGTGGTCTCTAGAGTCGAGGATCTCCGACAGGGACGATTCCTCGGCAAGGTCAGCAGGGCAGCCCCCATACGCCTCGACCCGCCAGGCGACATTCTGGAGCATCCAGCGCTGCACGGCGGCGGGCCGGAGGTGCTCCTCAGGTGGAAAGTCGCGCCCCAGGGCACGTCGCGAATTCAGGTTGGCGGCGGCAAGCTGGTCCTGGTTCAGGGCCCGAACCGAATCAAAAACTTGCCGCAGCCGCACAGCGTCGCATGCATCGCCGGGGGCAGCAGCATCTCGAGGCAAAGGGAAAGGATCTCCACGCCGTCGATCTCGCGCCCTGACCCCTCCGGACGCGGAGGAGGCGAGCCCACGTAGTTGCCGGCTGCGGGGGGGCTTCGTCGACGCCCGGGCTGCCGGCGCCGGCGCCCCCGCAGCCCCGAGAGGCGCCATCCCTCGTCGCTGGCGCCGCCTCCGGCGCAGGCGTCCTTCCCCTTCTTCTTCTTTTTCTGACCTTTTCCATCGCCCCCCCCCGCCCTTCTTGCCGTCGCCCTTCCTCGTCTGCTTTTGCCCCTCACGATAGGAGCCGCTCTTGCTTCCAGATGGCGGCCCTCTCCTTGAGGCGGTCGGTGGCCCAGGAGTTGAACTTCGAGGTCGAGGCGCGGCCCACGGCGTTGACGGGCGCGGATATTACTATGTCGAGGCCACTGTAGTCGGGGTGCCGAGGGTTCCTTTCCACCGCTATCTCCGTCTGGATCAGCCAGCGCACGATCAGCTCGGCCGACGCCATCATCGAATGGTCGACCTGGCCCCAGGAATGCATGAGACGAATCACCTCACACAAATTCCGACGCACGTGGCTGACACCCGACCCCTCGCCTACGCCGCTGAGACGCCCCCACTCCGCCTGGTACGAGATCATGTTGCCTGGCCCGGCGCCGACGCTGTCAAGGAACTCCTTCACGCTCCTGAAAACGGACAGGGGGAAGCCCTTCTGCTCGGTGTCGCGCATGAGGGCGACCGCCTCCGTCAGGTGGAGGACCCGCTGCCCCGCGTCGTCCGCGCGGTCGCCGAGCGTGCGGACGTCGCCTAGGTCGGTCTTCGTCTCCTTCTTGAAGTCCGCCAGGCCGCTTGCCGCTATCTTCTGCACAAAGAACTCCTCGCCGACCAGCACCACCGCGCCCTTCGCGTCGAAGCTCGTGCCGTGAGCGTCGTCGTCCATCAGAGCAGCGTCCACGACCTCGCCGAACCTCGCCGAACGCGCCTCTGCGATCACCCAGATCATCGGCTCCACGGCGTCGACCTGGCCGCCCCCCAGCAGCTGGCCCTGCATCTTCTCCCTGCGCCGGTAGCCGGCCAGCGCCGCGCCCGCGATGGGGTCGCGGGCGTAGACCTGATTCGCCAAGTGCGGCGGGAACGGCGCCCGCCTCTCCAGCACCTCGTGCTGGACGTTCAGCAACTTGACCCTCACGAGCGCGAGGTCCGGAATCAGCGCGATCCAGATGTCGCCGTCCACGCGGAACAGGAGCACCCTGTGGCGCCAGTGGACTCCATTCGGATCACTCTCGTACCGCACAAGGATCTGCAGGTCCGCAATGTCCAGGGCCAGCATGTCAGCCATAGCGTCGGCTCGGGGTGCTTGGCCCGGCGCCGCCCGTCAAGGCGACCGTCGGCGGCGGCTGAGGCACTGGCGAGGCCGCCGATTGCGCCTTGCGCGGAGGGCTCCCCTCAGGCCCCCGTCCGCGCCCGCCGCAGCAGCAGCGCCGGCACCAGCCGGCCAGGAACCCCAGCGCTCCGGCGCCCGAGGTCGCGAGGCCGAGCACCAGCAGCCCGGCGAGGAGCAGGCACCGGAGCGCCCAGACCTCCGCCTGGAGAGTCACGACCTCGCCCTGGAGGTCGATGATGCGCCGGAGCTCCTGGTCGCAAGAGCAGGGGCAGCCCTCCTCCGAGCCGCAAGACAACGGCGGCGGCGGGTGCCAGGCCGGAGCCACGGGCGTCGCCCAGCCCCACGACCAGCAGGCCCCCAGCATCGCGCTCCACGCGGCCGCGAACGTCGCCCAGAGCGAGGGCGGCCCGTCCATGAGCCGCCCGCGCGGCGGGCCTCTCGGACTTGAGCAGCACGGATGCAGAGGCACGTGCGGGCATTCGCTGGCGGGCGAGTGGGGGCCGAGGGGTATTCACGTCTCTGACTATACATACATATATATATATATATATATATATATATATATATATATACATACATACGTACATACATACATGTGGATATGCCAACGTGCCTCTGGCACGAAAAGGAGTGCCCCGAAGCTCATGCAACACTGATACGCAGAGGCCGCTGCTACAGCCAGAATCCCACCAGCCCTCTGGGCGTAGGTGGTCTGGGGCGGTTCCTCTTCCAGTCCCCTTTTTCCCGCTCGGGGGGGGGCTGATCACTGTTCCCTATGAATATACACTCCCTCCCCCAGGCGACCAGCAGCCAACCAGGAACCATGCGGCCCCCCCATACAGCCACTGTTACAAAGCAGTACAAAACGCACCATGCCTCCACATTTGGAGCATGCGCGGCCAACCAAATGCGCCCCCCCACACACAATCCCTATCACAAAAAGAATACACAATACACTTTGGGGTCAAGTCTTGACTCACTTTCGTGAGGCCCGCGAGCATGTTGCGCTGTTTTTTTAAGGACGGCAGGGGTGTCAGCATATTGATTGCTGTGCGCAGTGATACCATCCATACCAAAAATCAATACAAATTATCCCGGGAAAGCAACCGAACAGCGATGTGTAGAAGCATGGCTGGAAACATTGCCTGTGGTATTCATGTAAGAGCGGTGTTGTAGAATTCTGGTGTTCTCGCAGTCGCATTCGGATTCGCAGTGGCAGTCGCAGTGGCAACATCAGCGGCAGTCGCAGTGGCACTGCCAGTAGTTGCAGTAGCAGTAGCTACACTGAGAAGCAGCAGCAGCAGCAGCAGCAGCAGCAGCAGCAGCAGCAGCAGTAATAGTAACAGTAGTAGTAGCAGTAGAAGTAGTAGTGATGGTAGTAATGGTAACAGTGAAGTAGTAGTTGTAGTGTGTGGAATGAACGAATAGGAGTGATGGGAGCCGTGGTAGTAGCAGTAGAAACACCGCTTTCGACAACGGTATCTCCAACGATAACGGTAGCCAAGAAGGCTACGGGGACGATGATGATGATGATGAAGATGATGAGTCTTGGAAGTCTGGGAAATGAAAGAGCACGAAGTGGCGTACAGTTGGCTCCGGGCATTCAAAATGTGAAGGGGATTGAAGTTTTGGGAAGTGGAAGAACACGAAATGGCCTACACTTGGTTCCGGGCATCCAAAATGTAACCCGGGAGCGGTGTTCTGGGAAGTCCAAGAACACGAAATGGCCTACAGTTGGCTCCGGGCATCCAAAATATGGCCTAGGAATGGAGTTCTGGGAAGTCGAAGAGCACGAAGTGGCCTACAGTTGGCTCCGGGCATCCAAAATGTGGCCCAGGAGTGGAGTTCTGGGAAATCGAAGAGCACGAAGTGGCCTACAGTTGGCTCCGGGCATCCAAAATGTGGCCCGGGAATGGAGTTCTGGGAGGTCGAAGAGCACGAAGTGTGTGACTGTTTGCTTAAAACGAGCCCGGCCCTGAGCCCGGCCCTCGCTGTCCGGATGCCGCCCAGACCTCCCTTCTGAGTCATCAGATGCTCTCTTTTGACACCACTAGAAACCTATCAGTCTTCGCTGTTAGGTAACAAAAACCTCGCAGCTAAACCTGGAACCGTGCGCGGCCACTCGGTGATCACGGTCAAGTGGTTTTGACAGGGACGGCGGGGTTGGTGGCGCACGGCATGCTGTGCACAGGCCCCCCAAACACAATGAAGGGCATCGCCTTTCGGCCGGGCCGACATGTTTCCCGATGTGTGCTGTCACGTGCGCAGACGCACCTGGCACACCCTGCGCGTGCCCCGAACGTGGCGCACATGGCGCGGCTGGAAGATGCGGCACAACTGGCGCACGCGGAACACGTGGCGCATCTGATGCACCAGGCGTGCATGGCACGCTCGGGCCCAAGGGGTGCCTGGCGCGCGTGGCGCGCCTGACAAGCGTGGCGCGCCTCGCCCCAGCGTCGCGCACATGGGGTCGGTTTTGGTTCCCAGTAGTTGTCCATCCACAGACGACCGCTGAACATGCTGAGGCTCGGGTGTTATTTCTGTGTTGGAAAGGCGGGTGGGAGTGAGTCAGACGGCTTGCTATCTAAGGGGTGTTTTGACCACTGCTCCCTATTACTATACACCCCCTCCCCCACGCGACTGGGAGCCAACGAGGGACAATGCGGGCACCCCCCAACCATCCCTTATAAAAGAAAACAATGCAAAACACACTCTGTCTCCAAATTCGGAGCACGCGCAGCGAACCCGATGCGGCCTCCTTCCATCATCCCTGTCAAAACTATCCCGGCAAAGCATCCTAACAGCGATGTGTAAGAGCATATCTGGAAGCATTCCCCTTAAGATTCAGATGAGAATCCAGTTGTAGAATTCTGCTGTTCTCGCAGTCGTAGTCGCATTCGCGATGACAGTCGCAGTGGCAACGGCAGTCGCAGTCACAGCCTCAGCCTCAGCCTGCCTCAGCCTCAGCCTCAGCCTGCCTCAGCCTCAGCCTGCCTCAGCCTCAGCCTCGCCTGCTTCAGCCTCAGCATCAGTCTGCCTTCAGCCTCGGCCTCAGCCTCAGCCTGCCTCAGCCTCAGCCTGCATCAGCCTCAGCCTCAGCCTCAGCCTGCCTCAGCATCAGCCTGCCTCAGCCTCAGCCTCAGCCTGCCTCTGCCTCAGTCTCAGCCTGCCTTCAGCCTCAGCCTCAGTCTGCCTTCAGCCTCGGCCTCAGCCTCAGCCTGCCTCAGCCTCAGCCTGCATCAGCCTCAGCCTCAGCCTCAGCCTGCCTCAGCATCAGCCTGCCTCAGCCTCAGCCTCAGCCTGCCTCAGCCTCAGCCTCAGCCTGCTTCAGCCTCAGCCTCAGTCTGCCTTCAGCCTCGGCCTCAGCCTCAGCCTGCCTCAGCCTCAGCCTGCATCAGCCTCAGCCTCAGCCTCAGCCTGCCTCAGCATCAGCCTGCCTCAGCCTCAGCCTCAGCCTCAGCCTGCCTCAGCCTCAGCCTCAGCAGCCTCAGCCTCAGCCTCAGCCTCAGCCTCAGCCTCAGCAGCCTCAGCCTCAGCCTGCAGCCTCAGCCTCAGCCTCAGCCTCAGCCTCAGCCTCAGCCTCAGCCTCAGCCTCAGCCTCAGCCTCAGCCTCAGCCTCAGCCTCAGCCTCAGCCTCAGCCTCAGCAGCCTCAGCCTCAGCCTCAGCCTCAGCCTGCCTCAGCCTCAGCCTGCCTCAGCCTCAGCCTCAGCCTGCCTCAGCCTCAGCCTGCAGCCTCAGCCTCAGCCTCAGCCTGCCTCAGCATCAGCCTCGGCCTTCAGCCGGCCTCAGCCTGCCTCAGCCTCAGCCTGCCTCAGCCTCAGCATCAGCCTGCCTCAGCATTCAAAATGTGGCCCGGGAATAAAATTCTCGGAACTCGAAGAACACGAAGTGGCCTACAGTTGGCTCCGGGCATTCAAAATCATGCCCAGGAATGCAGTTCTGGGAACTCGAAGACCACGAAGTGGCCTACAGTTTGCTCCGGGCATCCAAAAATGTGGCCCGGGTGGAGTTTTGGGAAATCGAAGAGCACGAAGTGGCCTACAGTTGGCTCCGGGCATCCAAAATGTGGCCCAGGAGTGGAGTTCTGGGAAGTCGAAGAGCACGAAGTGGCCTACAGTTGGCTTCGGGCATTCAAAATGTGGCCCGGGAATGGAGTTCTGGGAGGTCGAAGAGCACGAAGTGTGTGACTGATTGCTTAAACCGAGCCCGGCCCGGATGCCGCCAAGACCTCCCTTCTGAGTCATCAGATGCGCTCTTTTGACACCACTAGAAACCTATCAGTCAGTCTTCGCTGTTAGGTAAAAATGCAGAATCCACTTGGCGGCGGCGGCGGCTGCGGGGGCTGCGGCGGGGGCAGCGGCTGCGGCGGCTGCGGCGGTGGCGGCGGCGGTGGCGGCGGCGGCGGCGGGGGCGGCGGCGGCGGCGGCAGCGGTGGCGGCAGCGGCTGCAGCTGCGGCGGCAGCGGCTGCGGCTGCGGCTGCGGCTGCGGCGCAGCGGGGTGACGGCATCGGCGGCGCGGCGGCGGCGGACGGTGGACGGCGGCGGCGGGCGGCGCGGCGGATCGGCGCGGCGGCGGACAGCGACAGCGGTGGCGACAGCGGCGGCGGCGGCGGCGGCGCGGCGGCGGCGGCGGCGGCGGGCGGCGGCGGCGGATTCGCCCTCAGTAGCTGCCCATCCAAAGACGACTGCGGAATATGCTGCGGCTCGGGCCAGGCTCGGATGCTACGTATGTGTTGGGAGGGCGGGTGGGAGCGAGCGAGACGGCTTGCGGGCGGGGAGGGAGTCTTGACCCCTCCCCTTCACCCCCTCCCATGGACCTGGACGGGGCCAGTCGCGAGGTGCCAGAGGGTACTCAAAGAGGGCCTTAGATAGCCCAATATGGCCACCAAGATAGCTCCAGGTGGCGTAAGATGCCTCAAGATGGTTCCCAAAATGTTCCAAAAGGGCCCCAAGAACGCTCGAAGACGGCTCCTAGAGGCCTCCGAAACCTCCAAAGAGACCCCCCAAGAGGCCAAAATCATTTGAGCTTCGGGGTATCCCTGATTGTCGCATCGTCGACCGTTCGCTTTCGATAGCCTCCCGAGGTCTCGAGATCGTTCCGACATGGCCCAAGAGGGCTCCAAGAGAGGTCTAAGAGAGCCCCAAGACGGCCCCAAGAGCGCTCCAAGAGGGGCCTGAAAGAGGTCCAAGGGGCGATGTTAGGGGCTCCCGCGGGGGGAGGCTAATTGCGACCATCCCCATCTTTGATCGATGTCCTCCAAGATGGCCCCAAGAGCGCCTCGAACGCCCCCAAGAGCGCCCCAAGAGGGCCCCAAGAGGCGCCAAGGAGGCGCCAAGAGGCGCCCAAGATGTCCCCAAGAGGCCTCCAAGAGGCTCCCAGGTACGCAAGAGGCCCCCGAGGTTTATGTTGCTTCCCATCCCAAAAACAAGTTCGAGTCCCCAGAGAAGTGTCGAAACTGTCTCGAAAGAGCATCGCCTCCCAGTGCTCGACGCGGCTAATCCCACCAGCCCTTTGGGCGTGAGTGGTTTAGCGAGCTCTCTCTGTTCTGAACCCCCCTTCTCCCCCGTCGGGGAGGGGTTTACCCCTCCCCCTACCCCCTCCCCCTGGACCTGGAGAGGGGGTTTCGCGGGTGGTCAGAGGGTCCTTTTTCTATCCCTGGGAGGGCTAAAATTCGACACCCCTCACGAGGATCGTGGCCCCGACGGGGGCGCTGACAAAAATGCTCGCCCCATCTGTGATCGATCGCCCCAAAGATGGCCCCAACAGGCCCCCAAGACGCTCCAAGAGGCGCCCAAGAGGGCCCCCGGACGCTCCCAAGAGGCTCAAAAGAGAGCCCAAGAGGCCCCTTTACTACCTCAACTTGACAACCCCTTGTCAAGTTGAGGTGTCTGCAAAAGGCGCCGCGCGCTGCCACTCCCCGCGAACGAACGTGGCGCCGCGGGGCGGTTCCCTGCGCGGGGCGCGATTCGCCGAACCGAAACAGCACGGTGAGAAAGGGGCGCGTTGCTGAGTTTGTAGCCCCGTGGCCTCACGCAGCTTGGCGTTATCCTTGTGCTTCGCTGCTTCGGCCTTCTGCAGGGAGGCGCTCAAGGACTGAAGGCCCTTGTTCTTCCCAGCCCAATCCCGCGCCTGTGGGGACACAGTGGATATGTACAACAATCGTGGTTTCCATGTGCCTGGGCGTGGGGGGGGGGGGCGGGGTGTACCGCTGTGGGCGGAACCATTATTTCCCGTCGTCGCCTTCTGGCGCCACAATGCCTTGACCTTGAGCTCCGTCTCGAACACGGAGTAGAACTGTGGAAACAGTTCCTTGCGTTTCTGGTCCAAACGAGCGTCTTTGCGGCGCTTGTTGCGTTTCTTGTTGTAGGTCCGCCGGGTCTTGCTTTTGAGGGCGCCGTGTTTTTTGGGGGGTCTGCCCCTGCCCCTGCCCTTAGGCTTGAGAGCCTTGCCGTTTCGGGGCATCTTGAGCCGAACCGCTTTCGACATCGATTATCATCTGGGGCTGAGCGGCGGAGAAAATGAGGAGAACGATTGGGGTGGGGCAGGAGACACTAGGCAGGCAGAGCAAGAGATACGAGGAAGAAGAGTCGGCTGAATAGTAAGAGGGGGAACCAGGCAGAAGAGTAGGTGGAGGAGACAGGAGGAGAGATGAGGACGAGAGATGAGGAGAGACGCGAGGAAGAGGGAGCAGGAGGAGGAAGAGGAGCAAGATAGTTGAGACAAGAAACTATCCACGGGTACAGTCGAAGCATGGCCACAAGAACGTAGATCAAACACACAAGCCACTTCGCCGAATGGTAATGACGCCATCAGCGAATAAGCTCCTCCCATCCTCCCCCTCCGCATAATCCTACACATCCTCCTCCGCATCCTCCTCCGTCTCCTCCTCCTTCCTCCTTATCCTCCTCATCATCATCATCATCATCAACAACAACAACAACAACAATCATTTTACCCGAACGCGTGGTGTTCTCCCCAGTGCCAGGGTTTTCATACGACACCAGGCAATACCCCCACTTCGTGGGGGGGCATTACAAGCTCTACCAAATATCCAAACGACTCTTCGCGACCACCCAAACCCAGCTTCCCGCCCTATGACGTTGGGACACTTCACTTCGTGGCGTGCGGACGACCGTGGCTACTACACTGGCGTGGGGTACACACCCACAGAACCCAATGGTTTTTGGAGATTTCGGCGTGCGCGCGCGAAGAAAAAACGAATGTGTCCCGCATGGTATTATTTGACAGGGATGATGGCCCTGGCAGGTGCGCAACCGTTGTCGCAGAAGTTCGAAAAAGTTGCTCGCAAAAGCCCGTTTGACAGAAATGTTTAAAAAGTGTTGGGTTTCCTACGAATCCGCAAGAGCGCGCGGGATGAGATTTTGACATTTTTTTGTTGAAAAACCATTGGTTTTTTGATGTTTTTATGTTAAAATCGCTCCGAACACTAAGCTTTTGGAAGGATTTCGTCTTGCGCGCGCGAATGTCCACTTTACCTTATTTTTTGCAAGGGATTCTTGAAATTTGATTACATTTGAACAAGAAATTTCATTTTATAGTGTTTTTTGCAAGGGAAAGCGGGGGGGAACAAAACAACCGGATCTTGATCACATCGAATTACCTGAGGCTTCCTCACGAAAATGATGAAAATGTAGCTGCGGCCTAGGCGCGGCGGGGGGGGCGTGCACCAGGGGGCCCAACAATAATTATTCTTTAGAATTAATAATGTTCAACATCATCATCATCATCATCATCATCATCATCATCATCATCATCATCATCATCATCATCATCATCATCATCATCATCATCATCTTCATCATCATCACCGTCATCGTCGTCGTCATGATCATCATCAGTCTCATCATCATCATCCTCATCCTGCACCTCCTCATCATCCTCTCCCTCATCTCACCCTTATCCTCATCGTACTCCTCATCATCCGCATCCTCCTCCTCCTCATCATCATCATCAGCCTCCTCATCCCCCTCCTCATCATCGTCATCACCATAATCATCCTCATCCTGGTCCTCATGAGCATGTGAGAAATGCGATGGTGATGACGAGGATGAGCCCTGTAGGGGGGCCGCTGCGGACTACTGCCCAGGGCCGCCGTCGTAGTGTGTGGCTGTGCACGGACACACACACACACACACAGAGGTATGCGCAGACATTTTCACATGCATACGTACGAATACTTGAGAGAGCGTGATCCACCGCCGCTTTACTATGAAAAATTCCCCCCCCCCCCCCTTCCTCTGGAGCCCGGGGATCCCCTCCCCCCTCCGAAAATCCTCCCCCTGCTGGACCCCCCCCTTCCTCTCGACAAAACCCCCCCTCCCTTAACTCCTGGGCCGTCTCTGGTCTTTCCTGGGGAGCCTCTTCGGCCGTCTTGGAGCGATCTGAAGGGCCTCTGACGCCGTCTGGGACCGTGGGGAGGCGGAACATGCGAGAGCGCAAAAATGCGGGGCCCTTTGGAGAGGCCTCTGGAGGCGCTCTTGGGGCGTCTTGGTGGCGTCGTCGGCCGTCCTGAGACCATCTTCGGCGTGTCCGGGGCCTCTTGGGGCTGTCTTGGCAATCTTTAGGGCCCTCTTGGCGTGTCGTGGCGTGTTTGGGAGAGGGCCCAGGCAGTCCCCGGAGCCCTGGGGGCTGTTGAATGCTAGGTGTTGTCTTGGAGGCGGAGGCTGTTGAGTGCAGGGTGGCGCGTGCTACGCGGAAGGCGGGCGAGCGGCTGGGCGGGCGGCGGGCGGGCGGGTGGCGGGCGGGCGGGCGGGCGGGTCGGGATTTGAATGAATTCCTTAAGGGTGCTCTCTTGCAGCGGGAGCTTGTTGGAGACTGAAGCTGTGTACAGAGTGGTGCGTGCTACGCGGATGGCGGGCGGGCGGCGGCGGGTGCCCCAGGTGGTGGGTCAGAGGCCACATGGGTGTTGGTTTGGATCTCGTGGTTCGCCTGTCGGGGACGTCGTGAAGGCAGTTTCGCAGCTTCTCGGTAGCCATTTTGAGACCGTTGTGGGACCTCCTCTGGGCTGTTTTGTGGCCTCTTGAGGCCGTGTTTGGGTCTCCTGGGTGCCTCTCGGGGGCCTCCTGGGGCCTCTGGGGGGCTCCTTGGGGCCTCCTGGGGCAATCTTCAAGCGGGAGGGTCGAATTTTGGAGTCGTGGCCCCCCTATTGGGCGCATCTTGGGGCCGTCTTGGGGCTCTCTTGGGCGCTTCTGGGGCCGTCGGGGGGCCCTCTTTTTTTCGAAAGGGGCCCAGCTGCGCTGGAAGGTGAAATATTTGAAGGGACGCCCCAACGCGGACCTAAGTCAGATGCTTCGGCTGGCGTCCCTGCAAAACAGGGCGGAGGCGGGCAACGACGGAGGAACTCTCCTCGAGCCTCGGCGAGAAAATTAGAACCAGCATCTGCCAAGCCGGCACCCTCGGCTAGGCAGGTTAAAAGGAGGAGGAGGAGGAGGAGGAGGAGGAAGAAAAGGAGGAGGAGGAGGAGGGAGGTGAGTGGGCGGCGTGGGCGGTTCCGCCTCGGCGCGGCCAGAGTAACAAACAGAAGCAAAAGAGGGGGATCACGAAGGCGTCTGAAGGCTCCTTTGAGCCGTCCGACCTTTGGACGACGTCCTGGGCCGCCGGGACGGCTTTCGGGTTCGTCTGGGAGGCGAGACGAGACCTCCCAAGAACGGGCCCCGCGCACAAGTGCAGCACCAGCTGCAAGGGGGGCCACCCAATTCGCAGCACAAGCAAAACTGAACAAGTTTAAACTCGTCCTCCAATTCGACAGGCACGCACTTCCTCCTATCAAGGACCCGCCGCCCCAGCTCTTCGGCTGAAACGCGAGAGGAGAAACCAACCAGCGCGAACCCTTGGACGAGCCCTCGGACGAGGTCGACTCCTGACACCGAGCACGGGGCAGGGTCCAGAGGGGGGACCTCATCAAGGCCAAGCTTGGAGGCCATGAAGTCTCTAGAAGCATCAGACAGGGCGGTGGTTGTGGTTGACCCTGCACGCCCGTCTCGACGGGAAGGGTGCTTCCCACGCAAAATCCAGTCCAATTGCCGCTCTCGGCCAGCAGACCGACTGCCCAGGCAATCCGACGCGAGGGCACTGCGACCCCAGGAACTCCCAGGGTGGCCGTGCAAAAAACCGAGGTCCCCAGAGGGGCTCCCGTGAGAGACGAAACTGGGGCCTCAAGGCACACGTGGCCTCGGGCTCTCCAAGGCCTGAAGTTCGCCCAAACCTCCTCGCTCGGCTCCGGCGGAGGCCCGCTGGCTGCTCTCGCGGCGGCCGCTGCCGAGCGCGTGCACTCCTTCCCGGCGACGGACGACACTCCCGCCTCCACAACAGACCCACCCACCCCCTCATCATCATCCTCTTCGAGGGGCGGGCACTCTAGAGTAATGGACCTAAGCCAGGAGGAGGAGGAGGAGGAGGAGGAGGAGGAGGAGGAGGAGGAGGAGGAGGAGGAGGAAGAGGAGGAGGAGGAGGAGGAGGAGGAGGAGGGAGGTGAGTGGGCGGCGTGGGCGGTTCCGCCTCGGCGCGGCCAGAGTAACAAACAGAAGCAAAGGAGGGGGGTCACGAAGGCGTCTGAAGGCTCCTTCGAGCCGTCCGACCGTTGGACGACGTCCTGGGCCGCCGGGACGGCTTTCGGGTTCGCCCGGGAGGCGAGACGAGACCTCCCAAGAACGGGCCCCGCGCACAAGGCCTCACACTTGTGGTCGAGGTCCTGGCACCAGGGCCCCCAGGCCCGGTCGCCTCTGATATCCGCCCGAAGGCCACACAACTCGTGCAACTGCTGCAACAATATGTGCGTATGTCTGGTCTCTGCAAGCCGAAGGATTGCAAAAAAAAAACCCACAAAAAAACAAAAAAACAAAAAAAACAAAAAACAAAAAACATTGTTTGTTGGTTATCTTTGGCTTTGTTTTGCAATCCGTCGGTTGTTTTTGTTTGCAATCCTTCGGTTTTTTTTGCAATCCTTCGGTTCCCGTTCTACCTCTGTTCCGGTAGCGACATGCTGTCCACTGCTGTTTTTGGCTTGCATCCAAGGAACGCCACGAACTTCGCAAGCTCACGCGAAAAGTTGCGGAACATACCGTCAGTGTGGAACAGCGACTCAGCTGGAATGCAGGAATGGACTCTGGCTACGTGTTCCCGATGGGCAAAGACCAGAAGTTGCAACGTGCGTGCGTAGAGATTGTTCTCAGGTGACTGACCCATTCTCACTGAGCAAATGCTTACTGCATTCTGGCAGAAGGTCGAATAAGCCTGACCCCATATGAATCCGCGAAGCTCGTTTCGCTGAATTCCAGCGCGATCCCCCCGCAGAAAAAGGTCGCAGTGGCTACCATGACTGCACTGTTTCGTAGTCTTATCGTACTGGCAATCGTAATCACAATACATGACCATCACACTTTTGGCATGGCGGGCCTCGTCTTTGTCTAGCATGAAAAACTTCGCCCGCGGGTAACGCAAATACAGTTCGCAAGGCATCGAGAAGAACGGCACATCATGGAAGGCTGTGCCCCGTTCAGGCCACTCCCCCGACCAATCAAATGGACGTAGTTTTGGGGTGCCTGTCTGATTCACTAGATCAGCGAAAACGTTTGAAGAGTCAACGCTCCCTGGATGTTGCTTAAAATCAATCACTTCTTGAAGATTCACCGTCTGGAAACCGTGCACAGACTTGTACCCGAGCTGTTCGACAACATGATGCATCGTGGTGGTTCCCGTTCGACCCTGGCCAACATTGAATAGGAGATCCGTCGAACCACATTCGGGTAGGCTGACGTGTTCACTTTGGTGTGCAAGCGCTGTGCTGTTTCCGCCCAAACAACCTGATGACTGCAGAAATGAAAACAATCCAGTAGGCTGGTGGTCCAGAGATCCGTCCCTTGTCAGAACTCGTAGTGAAGCAAATGCAGTTATACCCAAGAGCGGTATGGCAACGCGTAGACGCCCACTGAATGCAATTGTCATCAGCCACAAGCGCAGCAAAGGCCAATACAAGGAGAAAAGAAACCGGGACTCGACCACTGTGGCCCCCATGTGCTGGAGCCCAAATGGCTTGAGCCAGAATCGCTTGAGCCAAAGTGGCTACGGACCGTCTGGGGGCCCTCTTGGGCCGTCTTGGGGCGCTCTTGGGAGCCTATGGAGCCGGCCTGGAACGTCGGACAGCCGAAAAGGCTGGAAGGCCAAAATCTCTCCAAAACCTTCGTAACATTGACGATGTTGGTCTCTTGAAGCGCTCGGGAGAGGCGTCTTGAAGCGTCGCGGAGTGCCTTGGGGGGGCTTCTCGGGCCGTCTTGGGCCTATCTTGGGCGTCCAGGAGTGGTCTTTCGGCGACTCGGGGGCCCGCTTGGGCCGTCTGGGGAGCCTCTGGAGGCCTTCCTGGACTATTTTGGACCTCCCCGGCCGCCCCGTCCTCCCATGGGGGGTCAGGGGTCGGGGCCCCGGGCCTGCCCCACAAGGGATATACATATATATATATATATATATATATATATATATACATATCTATATACATATATACATACATATACATACATATATATACACACAAGACTGCAGAGGCGCTTCGCGCCATGCACCTTGGTCCTTGAAGTTTGGTTTGCAGGCGGAATGGCAGGAAGGTCAAGCCGACAATTTACCGACAATTCCTGGTTACCTTTTCCGGCATCGCCACTACATTGATGTTATTCGTTATCCTTCCTCCATGCTTATTGATCCGGATTTTCGCCATACCCTGCGCATTCTCCGCATCCTCCTCAGCTCCTTTTTGCGGAAGCTCCTCCTTGGAGAGCCTCTAGGGGCCTCACAAAAGTTGTTTCGGGCTTGCTTAAGGCCTTCTGGAGGCCTCCTGGGCGTGTTCTGGGGGCCTCCGGGGGCTTCCTCGGGCCACCCTGCCTCCAACCGCCGTCTCCCTGAACGGCCGAATCACGATTTGGAACTCTTCGGAGGGTGTCTTTGGGCCATCTTGGGCCGCCATGGGGCTCTCTGAGGGCCATCTTGGACCCGTGTTGTGCCGTTTTGGGGCTCTCTTGGACTGCCTGGAAGCCCTTTCGGATGGTTGTGGGGCGATTTGGGAGCCTCCCAGGCGGCTTCGGACGCCCAGAAGACCGCCGTCTTGGAGCGTCGGGAAGCCGAAAAGAAGAGAACCCCAAAATTCACCAAAAACCATCAGAAAATCAATGATTTTTGCCTCGGAGGGCCTTCTTGGGAGTGCTCTTGGAGGCCTCTTTGGGGCCGTCCTGGAGGCCTCTTGGGCCATCTTGAGATCACGTCGGTCCCTCTTGGAGCGCTCTTGTGCTGTCTTGGGGGTCTCTGGGACGCCTCCGATGACCCCCCTGATCGCCCTAAGTGTGCTGGGAAGGCTTGGCAAAACGCCTTGCGAGGCCCGGTGGCCGCTTCGAGGCCCGTCTGGAGGGCCCCAAAGCCCCAGGTCCCGGGAGTCCGTTTTTTTTTTGGGGGGGGGATGGGATTTCCCCCCGCCCGAGCTTATAAAAATATAGGAAGAGGTATATATATATATATATATATATATATATATAAGACTGCAGTGGCGCTTCGCACCATGCACCTTGGTCCTTGAACTTTGCTTTGCAGGCGGAATGGCAGGAAGGTCAAGCCGACAATTTACCGATAACTCCTGGTTACCTTTTCCGGCATCGCCGCTACAATGATGTTATTCGTTATCCTTCCTCCATGCTTATTGATCCGGATTTTCGCCATACCCTGCGCATTCTCCACATGCTCCTCCTTGGAGAGCCTCTAGGGGCCTCACAAAAGTTGTTTCGGGCTTGCTTAAGGCCTTCTGGAAGCCTCCTGGGCGTATTCTGGGGGCCTCCGGGGGCCATTAGAGTCCCCCACAGGTCCCCGGACACGTCCGCCGGACACCCCGGACACCCCCGACACGTCCGCCGGACACCCCAGACACAACGGACACGTCTCCCGGACACGTCCCCTGGACACGTCCCCCGGACACGTCCCCCGGACACCCCGGACACCTCGGACACATCCCCCGGACATCCCGGACACGTCTCCCGGACATCCCGGACATCCCAGACACGTCCCCCGGACACCCCGGACACGCCGGACACGTCCCCCGGACACCCCGGACTTCCCGGACACCCCGGACACCTGAGACACCTTCCGACGTCGTCGTCGTCGTCGTCGTCCTCCTCCTCCTCGTCCTCCTCCTCCTCTTCCTCCCTCTCGTCCTCCTGATGATCACCACCTACATGCGTCACCATCATGCCTCACTACCACCATCCTACTATCGCCTTCGCATCGTCGTCCTCCCCCGCATCCTCCTCGCCCGCATCCTCTGGTTTCCTCATCATGCTCTTCCTGACGACTCATCATCCTGCTTCTCCCTCCTGCCTACTCATCATGCCTTTCCCTACTGCCTCAATCTGCTCGTCTTGCCTCTTGCCCATGCCCCCCCATCCTGCCTGCTCCTCCTCCTCCCCCCCCCCCTCCTCCTCCTCCTCCTCCTCCTCCTCCCTCCTCCTCCTCCTCCTCCTCCTCCTCGTCCGTCGTCCTCCTCTTCCTCCTCCTCCTTCTCCTTCTCCTCTTCCTCCTCCTCCTCCTCCTCCTCCTCCTCCTCCTCCTCCTCCTCCCCCTCATCATCATCGTCGTCGTCATCATGATGATCCTCAGCATCGTCATCGTCATCAGCAGCCTCATCATCCTCATCATCATCATCAGCATCATCATGACCATTGTCATTGTCATCATCAGCATCATCATCATCATTATCAGCATCATCATCATCGTCGTCTCCATTTGGTCCCCGTGTTCGGGTGAAACGTAACTTCGCGCGAGTGGTTGGAGTGGTAACCTGAGAAAGGTTATCGCTCCAGCCGCGGGCGAGGCAACCTGAACAAGGTTATCGCGCTCGCGCGCAGTAGGCTGGATAGGTAACCTGAGAAAGGTTACCGTTCTAGCCGCGGGAGAGGTCGCCTGAGCAAGGCGATCGCTACCGTAACCTGAGCAAGACTATGGTCCCCATTTGGGGGGGTGAAACGAACCTTCAAGCGCATGGCTGGAGCGGTAACCTGAGAAAGGTTACTGTTCCAGCCGCGGGCGAGGTAACCTGAACAAGGTTATCGCGTCGGCGCGCTCTAGGCTGGAAAGGTAACCTGAGAAAGGTTATCGTTCTAGCGCGCACTTGGCTTGAGCGGTAACCTGAGAAAGGTTACCGTTCCAGCCGCGGGCGAGGTAACCTGTACAAGGTTATCGCGCTCGCGCGCAGTAGACTGGAGAGGTAACCTGAGAAAGGTTATCGTTCTAGCGCGCACTAGGCTGGAGTGGTAACCTGAGGAAGGTTACCGTTTCAGCCGCGGGCGAGGTAACCTGAGCAAGGTTATCGCGACCGCGTGCCCTAGGTTGGAGAGGTAACCTGAGAAAAGGTTATCGTTCTAGCGCTGACTAGGCTGGAGTGGTAACCTGCGAAAGGTTATCGTTCCAGCCAAAGGAGGTAGCATGTATCGTCTTGACCACTTTCAACACATGGTTTTCCTTGTCAATAAGGGGAAACTAACGCCAATTTGTCGTTTGAACTTCCACGGGACAACACAGGCACTGGGAGCGACAATCACGTGGCGGAGAGAACCGTCTTAGAAAGAACCGCATTTGCGTTATTTTCATGGACGCACGCGTCTGGGCATCTCCGAAACGAATGACAGCGAGGGGGATCAGGCTCCCCTCCTCCTCCTCCTCCAACTCCTCCTCCTCCTCCTCCTCCTCCTCCTCCTCCTCCTCCTCCTCCTCCTCCTCCTCCTCCCCTCTTGCTGCTGCTGTTGCGGCTGTGTTCGTCCTTCCCTCCTCCCCCGTCGTCGTCGTCGTCGTCGTCGTCGTCGTCGTCGTCGTCGTCGTCGTCGTCGTCGTCGTCGTCGTCGTCGTGGTCGTCGTGGTTGTCGTCGTCGTCGTCGTCGTCGTCGTCGTTGTCCGGGGGCGGCCCTCGGCCTTCCGGGGGTTTGGGGCCTTCCTGCGGGAAGGGGGCGGTCAGAGGCAGGGGCCTCCGTGCCCACGGGGCAGCCCGACCAGCGGGGCACTGGAGACCGTAAAGGCCCAGGACGCTCGACAGCTGCTGCTGCTGCTGCTGCTGCTGCTGCTGCTGCTGCTGCTGCTGCTGCTGCTACTACTACTACTACTACTACTACTACTA